TGTTTTGATGCACAAAAAATGTTTTATGGTTTGTAAAAATTGTTTTGACTTTTTGAGAACCGAGACTTGAATAAATTGTCGGTTTTGATCACAAAAGACCGACTCGACTAAGTCTTCAATTCTTGATCTTGTCCTTGAGTCTTTTAGGTCTTGTTCCAAGCCATTCTTCACGCCTTGAGTTATTCAACGAAACTCTTCATATCCACGGCGGTTTGGCAATTATCAAAACCTGTCAGAAATGAACACGACTTTAGTTTAACGTGCAAAGTGTGTTCCAACAATTTCCCCCTTTTTGATAATGGCAAACAAGACGGGGATATGCATAGGGTTTTGATCTTTTTGAAACAAAATTCCCCCTTAATAAAATTCCCCCTGAAAATATGCATAGCCCTTATCTTCCACTTTTGACATTAACAAAAAGATTGTTAACAACAAAAATCATAAAGATTTTTATTAATTAATTAAGGGAAAAGGCGGAGTACATAGCGAAAGCATTAAAAATTATAAAATAAGGAAGAGAAGAAAGTAGAACTAGAGCTCTAGAAATCCGGGGAAAGATCATTGAGAAGTTGTTCTTCGTCAATGTCTTCTTCTTCTTCTTCATCGCCATCATCATCATCATTATCATCATCATCATCATCATCATCATCATCATCACCATCGTCCACCTCGTCTTCTCTTCCAACGTTTTGAGTCCCACTTTGTTCACCTCCGAAATTCGGTGGAGGAACGTAAGGGACCATTTGAGTGTACGGGTAATTAACAAAGTCAAAATACCCGTGAAGTTCACGGCTCAAGGTATTGACGTTGTGCGCCGTTTTGGAGACGTTGGTGTCAATCCGAGAGAGAGTGGCGTTTTAGATTTTTCATTTTTTTCTAGTTTTTTCAGATTCTTTTAATTTTTTCCTGTTTCTTCCTTTTCTTCTAATTTTTCCAGTTTCTTCCAACATCAAGTTCTTTTTTCCATTATCGGGCCTCATTTTTAGTTTTTTTTTTAGTTTTTTGGACAATATTGGCCATCATTTTTAGTTTTTTGAGTTTTTTTTGGACAATTTGGTGTGAGACATTAATAATATCTATTAGGTTCTACAAGCGTTTTGGAATCTTGTTTTTCTGTGTGATATCGCGTTGGTTCGATACGATGACTCTTATTATTCAGTACTCACTAGAATATTGAGAAATTTACTTAAATAGCACTAAAACATAATTAATTTCTCTAAATAGCATCACATGTGTTTTTCTTCCAAATGTAGCACTTTTAGTCATTATGCATTAGTCATTATTCAAGTAAATATTCGTCATTACTGGACATTATTAAGTGCTATTTAGAGAATAAAACAATTTAAGTGCTATTTAGGGAAATGACATAAGTTTTAGTGCTATTTACTGCAAATATTTCAGAATATTAACCTCATATTTTTTTTGGGCCTAAGTTTTACTCCCTCCGTCCCAAATTATTTGCCACATTTGCTTTTTCAACAGTCACGGGAACTTTTGTTTATTTTTACGTTTTCCTTGGTTATTTGATAAAATAAAATGTTCTTGACACCTCTTATTTCGAAGAACTTTTCATGTAGTTTTTTTATATGTAATTTGTGTTTTTTATTTCTTTACCAATATGTAAATATAATGAATTGAAAAAATTTGATATTTTGCCTCGATAATAGAAATGTGACAAATAATTTGGGACGGAGGTAGTATTCTAATTCTTTCCGTCCCCAAAGGACCAAAGAGCCAAACCAATTACTCCGTAAGTCCATATTGTTTGACTTCATGCAATTTAAGAATTGAATGTTATTGAAAAGTAAAAAAATACTCCCTCCGTTTGGAAAAACACTTCCCATTTGGATTTGGGGCAAAAATAAGGAAGTGTTAAATTATAGTTGATTTCTAATTTTGTCTCTGATGTGATGGGTAAAAGTAAGATGTAATGGATAGATTATTAGAGAAAAAGTATGATGTGATAGGTAGGGTATGAAAAAGTAAGGGTAAAAGTGGTTTTTTAATGGAAAAGAGAAGTGTTTTGTTGGAAGTGGAAAAAATGAAAGAGGAAGTGTTTTTGAGAACGGAGGGAGTACAAAGTATATGAAGATAATTTGTTCAAAAAATGCAGAATTATGAATATCCACTTATTTTTTTCTTAAGAAAAGAAATAGAACACATAGAAAAGAGAAAAATGTTATTGACTAATTTATTTTGGAACACAGAAAAAAATTGAACAATGTACAATTCATTTAGGGACGCAAAGAAAATGTACTCTCTTCGTCCCAGAATGTTTCTCTAATCTTAATTTTTTGTATGTGGTCAACCAAAATCAATTTTTGATGAATAAATAAATAAAAAATAATATACTCTATTAACTGGATAAAACAATAATATTTTCAAAATATTTTACAAACAAATCTAATAAAATTAATTTTGTATGAATATTTAATACTCTGTATTAACTTTGTTTGATTTAATTACAATCAAAACTTGTTAATTTTAGCTGCAAAAAAATAAAAATAAAATGTGTACAAACACTCATGGAGGGAGGTAGCAAATGTTAACAAGAATAGCACAACTTTTATACTATTAAACATTGGGATCCCAATATTCCAAAACTTGTCTTCTGCAGTTTTTGGTGCTAAATGGAGAATCAATTTTTTTTCTTTCTTTTGGTCGCATGAGAATCAATTTGCAATTATCAAAAGCTCTCCCTCCAATCAAATGTTAGTTAGACTATATTCCAATATAATTATTCTCGTGATAATTATATAATACGCCCTCGAGAAACCGCATAATTTCTTTTTGCCATACATTTACGGTTTAATTTGCTCATCAAAGAATATTAAAAGTGATGAGTTTGGCAGCTAAGAGCAAGGGCAAAACAGGGTGCATAGTACAAAAATGACAAAATTGACAAGAGTACTCTTAGAAATTTCAGATTTTACATAAATACTCCCAAATTTGTTTATTTACACCATTACTCTCACATTTCTCTTTTATTTACATCATTACTCCCAAATTTGGTAGTGATCATTACTGTTACTTGGATGTGTCTTTTTTACATTAAGCGAATAGTTAAAATACAAACATATATTTTTTTCACTCTGATATACCAAATTGACCTCAACTTATTTTCTCAATCGTCTTTATCACATCTTAGTAAGCTTAATCATTGCCCTTATTTCCTATCACTTTTTTTAAAAAAAATCAGATTTCAAACTTTTTAAATATTTTTAATTTTTAAAATCAAGACTGTTCATATTAATTTAATTTGAATTCAATTAAAAGGGATGAAGGACCCCGTAACGACGTAAATAATAGACAAATGTGAGAGTAACTATGTCAATAAACAAATTTAAGAGTATTTATGTAAAACTTGTAATTTCTGAGAGTATTCTTGTGAATTTTGCCTACAAAAATTGGAGGGTAGTGTAAGAAGAGTATATGAGTGTCATGCATGGCATTTAGAATATGGTGTCTTTCTTCGGTGAATCTAATGTCTACATCATTTTAGGTTGACACTCATTGAGTGTGATAAACAAATGTTCACTACCCTGATAAACAATTTTTTTCTATATTGTTTTGCAAAAAATGTTTATCAGGGTAATAAGCATTTGTTTAAGACACTCGTATGAAGGTCCACCTAAAATTGTATGCATCTTAAATCTGTAATAGCATTTACTTAGAATATAAAAACATTTTCTCAATTTGCAATTAAAAATTTAATTTTCTGGTTAAGTGAATACAGGACCATCCCTAAGAATTCACGGGCCAAACACGACACGAAGAAAATGGACTCTTGTATCATCATGAAGTAAAGTCTATCAATTAATTTTTTAACAATAATTAACATTGTAGTAATAAAAGTAATAAATTGTCATCAAGTTCATACTCCGTATTATACATATACGTACAAAAAAGTTTAAATTTGGGGCCGCCTGCAAAAAAGGGACCCGAGTCAGGTGACCACCCTACCAATGCCTAGAGCCGCCCATGGAAAATTACATTGAAACTTATTATCACAGACCTGTTTTGAGAGCTACGGGGTCGTGTTTAGTTGAGTACACATACTCCGCTCGTGGTACTTAACCCGTGGTACTTGGCCCTAGTAGACACCCAAATAGGAGCTAGATTTTTTGGAATACCGATGGTGGTCAGGTGTAGTGTTGGGAAATATGAAAATCGCAAATCAAATCAAAACCGATCTAAACGAGCTAGAAAATAAATGAAACCAAAAAACCCAAACTGAAAGTAAAAATCTGAGCCGAACCATTATAATTTAGTTTTCATTTTGGCTTTCACTACAAAAAAACGAACTGAATCGAATAAATTGAACTTTCCTATGTACTTTGTTTTATGTATATGTATAGGTTGAATAGCTCCCGTGCCCCATGTCATTTGAAAATTTGGCACCAATACCTCACCTGTTTTCAAAACTTATTTCCAAAAGCTTCATACTTTCAAAAAGTTGCTTACACACCCTCTCTAATTACTTTTCGGCTATATCCGAGTGAAGAAGGGCCATTGATGCTTATTTTTTAAACCACACGGGGCAACAAAGGCCATTTCTTATTTTTCATTTTTTGTTTGTTTTCCTTTTACCTCTTTTTTCTTCTCTTTGTTTCCTTTTCTTATATATTTTTTAAAGATTGAATTCAATCGATTAGTTAGTTCAACTCAAGAACTTATATACCGATTATTTTCCTCACACTTTTTCGATGTGGGATACTCTTAACACTCCCCTTCAAGTGGACGACCGGGCCATTTTGAATCTAACTCGTCGACCACTTGCAAATGGACTCACATCCCCATGATTATTTTAGGGAGAAAGACCAAACTAGGACTAAAACATTGAAAATATACCAAAATAGGACTTCCATGTTTTTATTCTCAAAATAGGACTTACATTACCAAACATGGTCATATACATTACCAAAAAAGTATAGTAATTTGCACATGTACACTGCCACATTACCACAATGCAAAGTCACATTACCACATGGCAAAGTCCTATTCCGGGATAAAAAACATGAAAGTCCTATTTTGGTACTTTTCTCTATGTTTTAGTCCTATTTAGGATGATTTCTATTTTTTTTAGCGCCAACACCTAAAGGACCATGAGCCGCTGGGTATAGATTTCCGGACGAGCAATCGTGTTAAACAGGCCACAAGCCGTTGGGTACATACTCCATACGGACAACTGGGCTAAAGACAAACGGGACGCTATGAATGAACGTCTTGACAAATAAGGTGGGCCAAAACTTGCTCTGATACCATGATAGAATTTAGGATGAGTATGGACAACGAGATTGAGCAATAAGACACTTGGGCTAAACCACATTAAAAGATTGAATTCAATTGATTAGTTAGTTCAACTCAAAAACTTATATACCGATTATTTTCCTCACACTTTTCCAATGTGTGATACTCTAATCTAAATATTTTCAATATTTTATTTTCTAGAATTAAAAAAATATTGGGAAGATAAAAAAACATAATCGAAAATCAAAAAATAATAATATGAAAAAATGAAAAGAAAAATATAAACATACAAAAATACTCTTATATAAAAAAGAATTTTTGAAGGGTCCAAAAAGTCCTTACAATGGAAATGTCCAAAAATAAGATATTCCTTTTAATTATTTTATTTAATTTTATTTTATTTCCAGATTTGTTCCTCATTCCTTGAAGTATCCAAAAAAAAGACTTCACTTTCTTATTTCAAAAAACATAAATAATTTTTTAAAATTTGAAACGTACAAATGTAGCATATATTGATTATATTTTATTTCAAAGATGAATAAAAATAGTTTTAAAAAATAGAAACCTTCATATATGTGATAGACATAAATTTAGAAATAGGAAAAATAATGGAAAATGAGAAATAAGCTCTAGTGCTCAATTTTGTTTGAAAATAGACACCAATGTCCATCTACGCTAGCAAAATGATCAAAAAATTATCAAAGGGGGTGTGTGCACGACATTTAAAAAGCACGTAAATTTTAAGAGTATGGGCAATGACAAGTAAAAAATGGAATGACGCATGCTGACGTGGCGTATTTCAACCAAACAAAATAAGTCCAATCAGCGTGTGACAAGTGAGTGGAGTGACATTCATTCTAATGGCAAGTCATTGTTTTTGTCACTTTTACACTTCTTAAACATATTTTAATTAATAAAAATTAGTTTACTTATCTTTTTTTCCATAGAAATAGATTCACTCCTTTTTTAAATCAAAAAAAGCTTTCAAATCAAAGTTATTTCTCGGTATAACTAAATACTTTAACTGGATAGACGTCAATTAAGGAACAAACACTCAAAATAAATATCAGAACCATACATATGTCTCTATATTTGTCAAGATGAAAAAACAACCAGACATGTTTATCCTCTGTATTTGTGGAGACGAAAAAAATAGGACCCACGCTACTGGGGATTATCGCCTCCGGACCCCTGTTATGAATTTGTAACATCGAGTTTGCATTCCGCACCTCCTAACTCATTGGACAATGTCTATTTAATTTCTAATATGATCTAAATAAGTTCAATTATAGACGATGTTACTAAAATCATCAACAACATACTGGCGTAATGATATCAATCATTTTTACTATCTTTTAATTTTCACTTTCAGAGCCTTTACCGACTCTTCTCGAATTAGAACACTTTTTAATCGTTGTTGTCACAAAGTCAAATCGCCACTACCATTAAAAGGTTCAACGAAAAGCTTCTCCAATTTTCTCTTTTATCCATTTTTTCTTTTATTACTTAAGGTGCGTTCTGTTCAACTTATTTTTCTACTTATTACTTATTCTTATTAAAATGAAATCAGATCAGATTAAATCAGATCAGATTAAATCAGATCATATATAATTAGACTAGATAAGATCAGACCAAATCAGATTAAATCAAATTAGGTCCAATCCAATCAGATCTAAACAAAATTATTATTATTATCATTATCATTATTACTATTACTATTATGATTATAATTATTATTTCTATTGTTATTATTATTGTTACTATTATAATTATTACTGCTATTATTATTATTAGTATTGTTACTATTATTATTATTACTATTATTATTGATAATATTATTATTACTATTGTTATTACTATTATTAGTATTAGTATTATGATCGTGATTACAAATATTATTACTATTGTTATTGTTATTACTATATTTATTACTATTACTATTATCATTAATAATATAACTATTATTATTATTAGTATTATTACAATTATTATGGTTATTATTATTATTACAATTGTTTTTATTATTATTACTATTACTATTATTATTAGTATTTATATTATTATTATAACTATAATAATAATAATTTTAATTTAAATTGAATTTATATCAAATCAAACCAGACCAAATTTAATCAGATCAGATCAAATCTAATCAGATCGGATCAAATCAAGTAGATCAGACAAGACCGGAGTCAATCAAATCAGATCAAATCCAATAAGATTAAATCAGATCAGACTAGATCAGATCTAATTTTAGAAAATCAAATCATATTAGGCAAACAGAAGACAACATTACATATTCCTTTTTCCTAACGAAACTTGGTTATGATACCATTTTTTAGAATTTTAAATGTGTAACACTCCAAAATACCAAAAACATGAAGAATAAATAAAACACAAAAGCAGGGAAAGAACCGAAAAACTACTAAAACATACTTAGTAAAGAGAACAAAATAATACTTTCACAATTTTATTCTAAAATATGACCTATAATACTACTAATGCTAACATATTATACACAAAAGCAGTGAAACATCAGTATACAATTTCATATAATCACAGTGTAATAATCATACTTTGAAGATTAAAACATATCACTTTTATTTTGAAGATAAGAGTTTTGGTCTTACTTTAGATATTTCTTACACAAAAAAAATTATTCACATTTAGAAGAGTTACATACTAGAAACTCATATACAAAATTTTCTATGCTATGATGGATGATATTTTTTGATAAGTAAATCATAATCATTTTATACACTTGTACTAGTAAACTTCTTTCTTGTGTGCTCACAACATTCTTTCACCCCTATCTTAGTCGTTTACCACAAGAGTTAAAACCATACAAAGTACTGGATTTGTTCTTGCTGAGTTACTACCTTGAATTAGGACGTGCTTGGTAAGCAGATAAGTGTTATGATATCTCTGAATATCAGAATTCTTATTTAGTGTTTGGTGAAGCTTAAAAATATATCGAATTTGATGTTTCTAGGTATTATAGATTTTAGAAAAAAGGGGGTTATGCTGTCTCATGAGTTTGAGAGATCAGATATCGATATAGAAATTTAATATCTTCTCAATTATTGACTATTCTTCGACACCAATGAATACTGTCACGGTCAGCTACCTTCGTTGCTGGTCACCCACGCTTTTAAAGCTCATCAAACGACTCCCAAGTGTTACAAAGAAGGGTGAGACATATTTTGTTAACCTTATGGTTAAGAGGTGAGGCTAATTTTGTTAACCCTATTCCTAAGCTACCAAAAATGCAATTTACCACAAAAGTAGCAGTAGAAAAGCAGCGATCAACCGAAATCCAAAATGGATGAAATTCCCATTTTCTCATTCTCCCTTCTTTACTACCTCGCGGTGTGAAACTTAACTGCGAGCAAAATCTCTGCACTTTCTCATTCTCCCCTTCTCTCCCAGATCCCCCCTCTCTCTCGTACAGTTTCATCTCACGGACCTGAATTCCAGTTCTAAGAAGATCTCCTCGACGGATTGCACGCCGCGCTTCTGTGGTTCCGATCAGCATTGATCTTCTCTTGGATCTACAGGGCTGGTCGTTTTTTATTTTGAATCTCCGATTCATTTCTTCAACCAATCGGCTTCCGTTTCACATAAGCGAACATGGTGAGTCACCGAATTGCTCTGCTCTCCTTTTGCATTGTGTTTCCTGCTAGATCTGATCTCGTTCAGCGAAATTGCGATCGGAGTTTAGCGATTCGCTATTCTCGGGCGAATTGTGAACTTGTATGATACTGATGCTTTAAGGATTCCAGATTGGTTTGTTGAACACTTAGTTTGGTGAGATCTGGTGTGTTTTTGTGGTCACTAACTGAAATTTCGTTTCTTTTTGGTGCGGTTGTGTAAATGCAGCCTCTGAAGTTGGAGATCAAGGTACTATAGCCTCTATAATTTTCAATGCAACTTCATAGATATGCATTTGTGTTTATATCTCATTTTTTAAAAATATATACCCTCAATGCTACCTCCGTTTATTGGATCAGAGAAAAGTTGCTCAAAGATCAGAAAGAGTAAAGTCTGTGGACCTGCATCCAACAGAGCCATGGTAAATAAGATTTCAATTGCTCATCCAATAATTTGGCTCAAAATTCGTTCTGGCAGATGCATATATTTGACAACGTTATTCTATTTGACATCCTTATTCAAGTCTTATTGACTATTGCATTGAGTTTGTTCCGTAGAATCTCCTGCTTGTGTTGGACTGGATTAATATAGCTATTTAGGTCATATGTACGGAGTATTTATTATTACTTCATCTTCCTTGCAGGATATTGGCAAGTTTGTATTCTGGGACTATTTGCATCTGGAATTACCAAACACAGGTAAGGGAAATTTACCACTGTGGTATAAATGTATAAAGTTGTGCAAAGTTAGTCAAGATTTTTTTTTCCTGCTGTGCTCAACAAATCTCACTATTATCATCACACATAGCTTCTTATCATCTCAAAAATATGAGTAACCCCCAAGAACTGTGCTAACATTACCTTATTTGCAAGAAATGGACTAATTTCTTCTGAATGACACTAATGACAGTGCAAGCATTTCAACTTTGGATTTTTAAGTAACTTTCTGCTGTATATACTATATGTATATCTTTAATTCAGAAGTGTTGGTCACCATCTAATAATCGATAGCTACTGCCATGAGACTTCATGGGTTGTGGAATAGTTTACGCAATANCCCCCCCCCCCCCCAAAAAAAAAAAGGCAAAGTGTGAACACAAATACAATGAATTAAACTCTTGCCTTTGTTATATATGTGGATATTCACCTTTTTTGGCACAAGGGGAATTGGGAGATTTGCTCATTACAAATCTCACCTCTCATATAGGAGGGGCTTTGAAATTTTTTTAGGTGCTTGTAAGCATGTTCTAAAAGCCAACTTCAGAGCTTTTGATCTCCAAACCCATCTCTGCAGTATGACATTTAGCCATCATTAACATGATTCATGAATGAGCTGAATTAAAACCCCCATCCCCGCCCCTCCCATGAAGACATTATCCAGATACCTTTCAGATCATTCTCACTGGAATACAAGCCATTTGTACTGAACTATTTTATTTAGACATAACAAGCTTTCACAAACATAAATTGCTAATGGATGGTTGTTCATGATGTGTGTTGCAGACTATGGCTAAATCTTTTGAAGCGACTGAACTACCAGGTAAATGGCTTTCCACACCTTGCTTATTTAGGTATAACTATCTAGAATTCAGCTTTTATGAACCTTGGATTTTCTGTTATACTTCGATAATTCTCTTGCAGTCAGGTCAGCAAAGTTCATTGCACGCAAACAGTGGGTTGTTGCTGGTGCAGATGACATGTTCATTCGGGTTTACAATTACAACACTATGGATAAGGTTAAAGTATTTGAAGCCCACACAGACTACATCAGGTGTGTTGCTGTCCATCCTACTCTCCCTTATGTGTTGTCATCATCTGATGACATGCTTATAAAACTCTGGGATTGGGAGAAAGGATGGGCATGCACTCAAATTTTTGAGGGCCATTCCCATTATGTGATGCAAGTAACGTTTAATCCCAAAGATACCAACACTTTTGCTAGTGCATCTCTTGATCGAACCATCAAGGTAAGATGGTTTTCTTTTTTTACTTGTTGACCACTTCATTTATTGTCATTCATTATATCACAAACTGCATCTGATACGACGTGCTTATGTGTCATAAGATTTGGAATCTTGGCTCCCCTGATCCAAACTTCACATTGGATGCACATCTGAAAGGTGTAAATTGTGTAGATTATTTCACCGGTGGTGACAAACCTTACTTGATCACTGGCTCCGATGATCACACTGCAAAGGTTTCCATCATGTTTCTATTTGAATTAATCCTTTGTTTTGCACTTGAATGCGATCTTTATAATATTTATATTTTCCAATGTGGTCCAGGTTTGGGACTACCAGACGAAGAGTTGTGTGCAAACTCTAGAAGGACACACACATAATGTCTCTGCTGTATGTTTTCACCCCGAGCTTCCTATTATAATAACGGCATCGGAAGATGGTACAGTTCGCTTATGGCATTCAACAACGTACAGGTATACCTTCAGTTCACTCGTACTTGGTGAACATTTTCTCAACCTATGTTTTTTTAAAACTTTTATTTTAATCATAAAGCGACAAGGCAAAGCAATTATTGCAAAATAATAGCTTCAAGTATTCATTTCAGGGGATTATTTAGATGCTTATGGTGATTCTTTGATTGATATACACTGTGAACTAGAACCTTGCTTGATCTTGGATTTTGAAGAAATTTCTTATCAGTGATAATTATACTATCGCTGCACTTAGTTGATCATACATAGGACATCAAGGAGTGGTATAATATTTTTTCTTGGGTTGTCTCTTGCAAAGTGTAATTGTATTAGGATGACTGATTATATTGTATCATCTTATGTTTAACCTTTTATCTTTTATTTAAGTACTGCTTTGTTTAAAATTGGAAATTGACCCATCACCTATTGTTTTCTCCTTTTTTAACAGTTGATTTTTCCTGCAGACTTGAAAACACTTTGAATTATGGGCTTGAGAGGGTATGGGCTGTTGGTTACATGAAAGGTTCAAGAAGGTGAGTTTTTTATATGTTAAAGATTGAGCCCTTGCCTCTGCATTTCTTGCAACTTTTTAACTTGATGTTGATTGTTGAATGGTTAAAAAATTTAACAAAGCATTACTTTCAAATAGCTGATACTGGAATTGGGAATGCCATTAGGAACTAGTTTAGGAATGGCTTAGCTTTATTTACATGTTTTTCTGTTTTGCTAACAACACTCAACTGTCAGTTACTGTTTGGTTTTATGGACAAGGATGTAATTGGTTATGACACGTGAACCATTGTGGTCAGAATAGGCCGAGAAACTAGTTTTGGAATCACTTTAGTAGCTTATTTACTTATTTTTTGCTATTAACACTCAACTACCATTCTGGTGGACAGGATTGTAATTGGTTATGACGAGGGTACTATTATGGTCAAAATAGGCCGAGAAGTACCAGTTGCCAGTATGGATAACAGCGGGAAAATCATATGGGCAAAGCACAATGAGATTCAAACTGTCAACATCAAGAGTGTGGCATCAGATTATGAGGTATTGTCTAATCAAGTTTTTGCTTTCTTGTTGCAATAATTCTAGAATGCGACAGCAGTACAGCATAACATTGTATGATGTATCAGTTGTATGATTTATTTCTCAGGTTACTGATGGAGAAAGGTTGCCAGTGACTGTCAAAGAATTGGGAACTTGTGACCTATACCCACAGGTACATTGGCCATACTTTCTGCTACATGTCATCACTTGATGTTCATTTCATGTTGAGTATTAATCACGTAGGAGGTTTTGGTATGAAAATTTGTTTTGAAATGCAAAAATGTTTCTTTCTACTCTTAAAAATATCAAACCTGCTATGCGACTCTTCCCACATTTCTGCCATTTGAGTGAGGGTAACCCTATTTGGTTGTTGCAACAACATGACCAAGAAATTGCAAAAATGACAGATGAGCATCTAAAAAGCTTAGTCATGGCAATTGACAATACTTAGTCACAAATCAGTTATCCTTTTCGTTAAATACCTTTGATGTCTTCATCCTTTACATTCTACCCTCTACAGTGTATTATTTTGTGTTTATTTTGGGTACATGATTACACCAAAGGATATTAAGTATCTTCAATGTAATGGGAAGCTTCATTGTAGCCTTGTAGGTCATCATTTGTGGCCTCTTTCATCTTGAGAATATATGTGTGTGTTTGTGAGGATGTAATACTAGTCTTGATTGACTGTTTATGCCATCATTTCCTTCTTCCTTTTTTATACAGAACTTAAAACATAATCCCAATGGAAGGTTTGTTGTTGTCTGCGGAGATGGTGAATACATTATATATACAGCTCTGGCCTGGAGAAACAGGTCGTTTGGATCTGCACTTGATTTTGTTTGGTCATCTGATGGGGAATATGCTGTGAGGGAAAGTTCTTCAAAAATCAAGATCTTCAGTAAAAGTTTCCAGGTTTATATCCCTTCTTTTATCGCGAACTACTTTTGTCTATTATTTGTAGTAGACTAGTCATTGCATCTGTAGTTTGTCTTCTAACTGATGTGTTATGCCATTGTTTTATAGCTTCATTATAAATATGGTGTCTGAACCAGATAATTATAAAATGTTTATAGGAGAAGAAGAGCATCCGTCCCACGTTTTCTGCTGAGCGCATATATGGGGGCATTTTATTGGCAATGTGCTCAAATGATTTTATTTGCTTCTACGATTGGACTGACTGCAGGTTAATACGTCGGATTGATGTAAATGTCAAGGTAAGAATACAAGATCTGACTTTATTTTCTTCCAAGACAACAAATTTACACTTTTGTTTCCATGTTCATATTGTCTTCTTCCAATTTTTTTCCAGAACCTTTATTGGGCTGACAGTGGCGATTTACTGACAATTGCAAGTGACACAACATTCTACATTCTTAAGTATAATGTAAGAGTTCCATTTCTTAATATTTGCACATGAACTTTTCTCTTATTTTTTGCTTCAAGGGTTTATCAGATTTGGGTTAAACATTGCAGCGTGACGTTGTGTCTGCCTATTTAGAAAGTGGAAGGCCAGTTGACGAACAAGGTGTAGAAGAAGCTTTTGAAGTTCTTTATGAGATCAGTGAACGGGTTCGAACTGGATTATGGGTTGGGGATTGTTTTATTTACAATAATTCTGCCTCGAGGCTCAATTATTGTGTTGGTGGTGAGGTAAACAAGTGTTTTCTGTTGATATCTGGCCATTATAATTCTGCAGATAACTTTTTATGTGAGTGACCAAATGTTACGTGTATGATGTTTCTAGGTGACTACGATGTTTCATTTGGACCGCCCCATGTACCTGCTGGGGTATCTCGCAAACCAAAGCAGAGTGTATCTAATTGACAAAGAGTTCAAGTGAGTGGGATTGTTTTAGCATTTTTGGGTGAAAAGTTACTCCTTCAAATTTTTTGTATATGATAAATCTTTAATATCTTTTGCCACAGTGTTGTTGCCTACACTTTATTGCTGAGCTTGATTGAGTACAAAACCCTTGTGATGCGCGGTGATCTTGAACGAGCTAATGAAGTCTTACCTTCAATTCCTAAGGACCATCATAATAGGTATATAATAGTTTTAATGATGGGCAATTGTGCAAAAAAAATCAGTTTCTGCATAATTATGATTTGCTTTAAAATATACTCCGTAATTGATTCGGTGTGACAGCCGTTGTACATTCTAGTGGGCTGTGAAGTAGGTTCAATAACAATGTGGAGTGAGATTGTGCCATTTCTATCTACTACAATGACCATTTCCATTTTTTGTTCTTCCTGAAATGATTTCACGATGGGTTCTTCACTCTTTAACGTGATGTACATCAATACATCATACAGAAAGTGAAAAAAATAAAAGCCAACTTAAGATTGCGACTAGATGATTGCTATAAGGATTTAGTTGAGTTTACTAGAGTTGTGTCGGGCCAAAATCATTTAGCTTGTGTGCTGGAAATGGGAATGTATCCTTAATTATAAATGAATGATCTCAGTGTGGCCCGTTTCTTGGAGTCACGAGGGATGGTTGAGGAAGCATTGGACGTTGCAACAGACCCTGACTACAGATTCGAACTGGCCATACACCTTGGAAGACTAGAGATTGCTAAGGTAAAGACTTCTGGCTTCTAGCTGCTGTATCGTGACAATTTCATTCCTGACAAAGTGTGCGGAAACGTTGCTTTTAGTTTTTTTGCTCTGCTAATTAGACCGCACATCTGTTAGCGCTGCTTCTCATCTACCCCATAGCTTTGGAGAGTGGCTTGGTTCTCCTTCCGGCTTTATTCTTTATTCACTTTAATTTAAATATATTTTCCTTCAATAAAAAAATGATGTGTTCTATCTAATAACTTTCATCTGTTGGTTCTATGGGACAGGAAATTGCTGTAGTTGCCCAGAGTGAATCCAAATGGAAACAATTGGGGGAACTTGCTATGTCTACAGGAATGGTAATTGTTCAATTGCTATGTGAGCTGATTCTTTTTCCTGTTTGCATCTCTTCAATGTGTTCACGGATGATGAGCTTGCTGATATATATTATTTTAATATTTTTGCTTGAATAAGTTGATGTCACTTTTAACATGTCCACCTAGTGCTACATTTTAGGATAATCTCTATCAATTCCAAATGTTTTTGTTTCCTGTTTGGTTTTTCTGGTCTTGCTTCTAGAATTTGGATACACTTGCTTCTTATTATAAATCATATCTTATCTTAAATCTGCAGTTGGGTATGGCAGAGGATTGTCTGAAACATGCTAATGACTTGAGTGGCCTGTTGCTGCTGTATTCTTCTTTAGGAGATGCTGATGGAATAACAGAATTGGCTTCTCTTGCTAAAGAGCAAGGGAAAAATAATGTTTCATTTCTTTGCTTGTTTCTACTCGGTAAAGTCGATGAGTGTATTCAGCTATTAGTTGACAGGTATCCCTTTTAATTGTTGGTTATCAGGATCCTGTTGGCTTGCATGTAGTTTTATATTGAGATGACATCTTGCCTATTAATGCAGCGGTCGTATACCTGAAGCAGCATTTATGGCACGCTCATACTTACCAAGTAAAGTCTCTGAAGTAGTTTCTATTTGGAGAAAAGACCTCAACAAGGCCAGTATTTTCATGCCATTCTCCAGTTCTTGCGAAGTTCATTTTTCTTTCTAAGTGTGTCAATATATGTGTGTGTGTGTGTATCATAGTTGTAGTTCATCCTATCCTTTTTCATATAGTTGATGGCACACACATACCCTCCGTCCCTAAGAGAATGCCACTTTTTCCTTTTTGGGCCATCCCAAAACAAACTTCACTTTCTTTTAAGGAAATGAATATATGGTTTCTTTTTAAAATTGTTCTATATATAAGTCTCAAAAAGACTGTTCCACTTTCTTATTCCACCTATGGCCATTTTATTCTGAAAGTAGTTCCTCTTGAATGCAAAAATTAATACTCCCCCTGTCCTAAAAAAGGCAATGTTTTAACAAAAGAAGCTAAAATTATTAGTAGAAGTGTTGATTTACAAGGGTTGTACCCTTACCAAATTTAGAAAGTTGTACCCTATGAAATTTGACCCTTTTTTTGGGTAAATAATAACTTTTTCTGTGAGGAGTTTTTGATAATTGTTTTGCGACAACTTCGTTGAAATGTTGTGTGTTTTGACCTGGTTAAGTGAATGAATTTGATGTGTAATTTTGCAGGTCAACCAGAAAGCTGCTGATGCTTTAGCCGATCCTGAAAAATATCCAAACCTCTTTGAGGATTGGCAAGTTGCACTTGCGGTTGAATCTAGCATTGCAGAGACCAGGTATAGATTTTTCTGCTACTCACATTTTCTCCCCACTGCTTTTCCTGAGTAATTGAATATATGCTTTAAAAAAGGGTTGGAATGTCCAAAGTTTTAAAAATGATCATGTGATGGATGAGAAATTGGTTATTGAAATGTTTGTGGTCATCTTCACTATTTACAGAGGCAACTATCCACCAGCAGCAGAATATTTAAATTATGCCGATAGATCTAGAGTCAACCTTGTGGATGCTTTCAGGAATATGAGGATTGAGGAAGGGGAACACCTTGAAAATGGAGAATTGGACCATGAGGTATGTGCATTTTAGGAAAAGAGAAAAACCTGAACTCCTCAAAAATAGGGTTTGAGCTCAGATGCTATCTTCTGACCTTAAATTTCTTTTGGTCTTCTCAAGCCTTAAGTTTCCCACAAGACCTTGTAGTAAGGCACTATTGGGGCCAAATTACACTGATCAACTAAAGATGTTAGTATTCTTAGATCCTTAAAAATACTCTGTATACGTATGATATTCAAATTGTATCCGATTTTAGCATGCATCCTAAATGAATACAACAAAACCAAGTATCCAACTCACTTGCGGTTGTCTGGTTGTGGCCTCTTGGGTGGTCAAGATAGATGCAGCCTTGCTCCTGTAAACACCAACTGTTTATGTTAAACCATTGGTACATTGCTGCATATACTTTATAATAACGCACTGTTGGGGCCAAATCACACATGTTAATATTCTTTGATTCTTAAAAGGTACAAGTATGATATTCAATTTTCCCCCTCTTTTAGCATGCATCCTAAATGAATAAAACAACAAAACCAAGTATAATCCTTGGGGTCTTGCCCCTCTAAACACAGACTATTCCTGTTAAGCTGTTGATGCATTGCTGCATTTACTACCCAAAACTTCATAAATAAGAAGCAAATGAGGTTTAATATGCCATTTTGTTTTAGTCCATTATTCACCTAAAGCTAAAACATTGTCAGTATGACTCTTTTGACTCCATTGGCAATGGAAGAATGTATCATAAATTAATTATTTTAGAAAATATACATGATCATAACATTTATTAGAGGCAAACCCTAAAAAAAGTATAGACGTATCATAGGAAACTATTAAGGACCATTGGCTCGTTCTAAAGTGGAATTCAATCATGTTGGTCTTGGAGTGCAAAACAAATCATTGAGTTTTCATGCACAGGTTGCAGAGCAGAATGAAGAAGACGAGGTTCAGCTGGAGGAGGTGGTGGATCAAGATGAAGACGATATACAACCAGTGGTGCAGGGAGAGCCGGTGGTAGTCTCCGGGGATGCTGAATCGACAGATGGAGTACTGGTTAATGGAAACGATGAGGATGCTGATGAAGAGTGGGGTATGAATAATGAAGGAAAACAGTCAGCTTAAAAGACAATTGGTTGGGCTGCTGTCAAAATCCTAGTTTCTTTGCTGGTGATTAATTCATTTTCTTTTTTTTTGCTGCTGCTCTTTCCAACTGCCATACCTGCTATCTTCCTCTTTTTTTGCTCCCCCCCTGTTTTGTTTGTATAAATGAGTAATATATGATAAGTTTTGGTATTTCATTTTAAAGAAAAATAAACAACCAAAGCTTATGTCTGTTATGGTGAAGCGTGGCAAAGCTTAGTAGTAATGCTTAAGTGTTTGGTTGGAGAGGAGGGGAGAGGGGAAGTTTTAGTTCTGTCATTCAAGAAATTATTGAAACTAATACGGGAAGAGAATCACCCCTGCTCACCGACTAAGTACACCCTAACACTATGTTTGGTTCATGGAATATGAGAGGAAATGAAAAGAAGCGAAAGTGATTCTCTCCTTTTCCCCACCAAAAAAATTGTTTTCTTTCTCATTAGTTCATTTCTTTCATTTACTTTTCCTTCCCTTCTTTTCTTTCCTCTCTAACCAAACAAGAAAAACTATTTTCCCTTTTATTTTCTTTTCTTTTTCCTTTAAGATTCTTTGAACCAAACATAGTGTAAAAGTTAAATTTAAAACTACTTTTAAAAAGTACTCCCTCTGCCCCAAATTATCATGCTTGTCTTTCATGTTTGCCCCACTTTTTCATGCGTATTTCCATTTATAGAAGCATTGTGTGGTTCATATTGTTTCTCTATGTAAATCTCAACCACAACTCTCTCTTTCTTAAGCTCTATGTCCAAAAAAAGCAATCACAATAAATTGGGACAGCGGGGGTAATATTTTGACCCTATCTAACAAGAGACTCTTTCATACAAGGAAGATGTTCCTAGTGGTAGTGTGATTTCAGATTGAGTCATTTTTATGTTTTGAATATTTTCAGATTATGCATGAGACACAATATTCAATCTTCATTACTGTGGTCTCCCAACTTCTGTTTTGTAGTTTTATGCATTGCGAGGGATGGTTGTTCTGTTCTTTACTCTTTTTGTTCACATTTCTTGTTTTTGCAGTGCTTACACATCACTGATTTCCAATCAAAGCAATCGGTTCTTGGGTGTATGCAACTCATTCTTAAGGTAAGCAACCATAGTTCAGTTCTTTTTCATATGTGAAAAACACAGTTTGGTCTTCTAAGTTCTTTTGTGTATGTTTGTATGTGTGTAGTGCTTTCTTATTCTGGACCGAAAAAGGCTTTATATTTATGTTTTGGCAAGAATCTTTTGACCTTGGCCTCGAGTGACCTTAAATGACATTGGCATTTTGGGGCTTCTGCAGTCCTCCGTTGGTAAAATTGATGGTTCTTACCCCCCCCCCCAAGATCACCGACTTGGCCGGGTCAAATCAATGAAGTGGGGTGCGCGGGGGGGGGG